GAATATCTTTAGAATAAAAGGGATTTTATCATGCTTTTGATACCGCGAAATAATATATTATACTTCTTCCTAAATATTTATCCAACTCCCTAAAGCAAATTTTACCTAAGATTAATTTGGTTATTCTGTTTAGGTCCGTATTATTTTTGGTCATATAACTCCTACATTTACATAGTATTACTCTTTGGACACACGACATTAATAAAACTGTTTATTTCATTTATTGTTTCTCACAGATTTCATAATATAGTCTTAAGTATATAATATATACTAATGCTGTGCATTATTATTCTAACATAACTTTCTCTTTTATGTATTAAAAAGAGTCATGAGTAGTTGAAATTGTTTTTATTTCAAATGGTCTTCAACTTATTATTTTATCCTTCCAACGTTTTGATTCGAGCACCTCTGTTGTGTGTAGACCAAATCTGAATCTAGTATAATAAATTTTAAGCTGGAAGTCATTAGACATATTCGTTACTTTTCATCCTACACAGTAGTGAATGTTGAACTATGTCCTATATAATGTTTCCCGATTGTTCCATGTGCTAGTTTTCGAATATTTACCACTTAACCTATATATCTTTAAAATAATTTCTATTTTCATTGATTCTTTAGTTCAAATCAATACATGAAATTATACCTAAAATGCACGTAATCTTTTTCAGTCCTACTTGACATTTATACCTTATCAAATTAATTTCATCTTAGTAACTGAAACATTTGTCACCTTTATACATATTTCGGACACAAACGACAGTTCCTTATTGCACACATATATTATTGGTTAAAAATGTATTCTCCATGCGAAAAATTATCAATATCAGAGAATTTAATAGAGAATCTATATAAAATTTTACCAGGCTTGATAATTCTTTTTCTTTTAATTTAAAAACGGAGAGAGTAATTGACCAACATATTTGTAACACTTTATAACAAAAACTAGAATATGCATCTTAATATTCAGAAAATGTATAGTAGCATATAATAATTCTTATATGATTTGCATATATACAAATACTTGAATTGGATTGGTCCGTAACCATTTTTTCCCTTGGTTTACATTTCGATAGACCATGTTGCCGAAACTTTTTTCGTTGCCTTCATTGTGATCTATTCGTGGGATCAAGTGGTTCAAACAATTGAGATTGAGAAAAAACAATACATAACTCTTATTTCTATTCTAATGAATATTAAAAAAAAATAATGCATTAAAGCTTGGAAAATGTATACATTTACATTAAAATAAAATTCCGCGAAATTTAATGAATGAGCTTGGCGCATTAACGTCATGGGAAAACTTGACATCATACGAATGAAAACTCCCAAGATGAAGATTATTCCGTTTCTTGTTCGCTTCAAATTTAAATAATATCTCATTATAATGAAGTTTTTGAGGTAGGTGTTATTTCATTTTAGATTCTATTGTATTAATCGAACATTAATGGATTTCAGAAAGTCAATATGGCGGCTTACGTCTTAGTTACGAAATGTCAATTGTGCATTTGATGGTAAATAGCAGCCAATGTACCAACAATTGTTAATCAAAAATTGCAAATGTTTTGGTTAAGAATTATAAGGATTAAACACATTTGTTCTAGAGGTTATTGATGTGTAAACTGTGTCGCTGACGCACAAACTTTACATAAAAGTTCTTCGGACTTTTATTCAGTTTGTGAGTTTATAGCCCCAATTTACACATCAATGATCTCTAGAAAAAATGTGTTTAATCCTATAGTAATATTTGCTTGCCGTGGTATATGTATCTAATTACCACAGCATGCATTTCGCCAATGGAAAGTTGAATGCATTTTCATTAAGTATTTACACCGCATACTGGACAAAGTAACATTAATATTCCTGATGTAGTAATGACTTCAGTGTTATACAGTAACATAAACTGAAATCAACCTGTTACCGAACTGAATACACAAGCTTAAATCGTGTAAAACATATATAAAAAAACAAGCAGCAAACTCCACATAGAATCTACAAATCTTCGAAAAAAGATTTATAAATAGTCCCCAAAATGACAAATGTAATACAATACAACGGGGAAAACGAAAAGTCTGGGTAGAACAGCTTGTCAAAACTGTCATAAAAGTGAAATCTTTTCTAGAAGCTGTGTTAGACAGTTCTCATTACAGTTCCTGGCAGATTTTAAGATAGTTTAAAACTGATCCCAACTGTACCTAGACACTGTATAAAGTAAGTACATACTACATTTATGTGTCAGTGATGATCATTAGTGTTTTCTTTCAACCATACATTCATTTTGTTTGCACTCGTATTTATTTGTTACTTAAATTTTACTTTATAAGGAATATGTAAACTAGTATGGCATTATGTTTTAACAGAGACATATATACACATGTGTATCAACTACAAAAACTTTTTTTGTTGGCATCTTTGTCTGATTTTTTTGTTGTTGGTTACACTGTATGTACTATCAATTACAATAACTTTTTTGTTGGTGTCAGATTTATTTCAAGGTTTGTTTGAAATTTTTAGTAAGTTGTGCTGTATTTCTTTGATGTATGTTTACACAGTTTTGGCTGCTGGATACCAATTATTGTCACATCAACCAACTATGTCGGTTATATATATATATAGTTTTGTTCACTCAATATTGTGAATATAGTGGAAATGACGGTCATACAACAGGGAGATTTAGCTAGCTATAAAACAAGGTTTGACCCACCCTATTTTATTTCGAAAAATGCCTGTACCAAGTCAGGCATATGACAGTTGTCTTCCATTTATTCCGTTGGTTGATACAGTCTAACGTTTAATTTTGTCAGGTTTAATGGACTTCCCTTTGTAAATTTACCTTGGATTTCGGTATTTTTGTTAATACTTTAACAAAAAAGTGTTTCCTTTTTCTTTACTATACATTTATATGAAAAAAGTAAAATAAAAAAAACAACGAACTCCAAGCTGAAAATTCAAAACGGAAAGTCCCTTAACTGGTAAAATCAAAAGCTAAAACACATCAAACGAATGGAAAACTGTCATATTCCTGTGCAAAAACTTACTTCGTCGGCATACATTTCAATGTCTGTTTAAAGAGTTTCCTTCTCCTTTTAATTGATATCCATAAGCACGGACATTAAACGAAAAACAAATATGGCAAAATGCAACCAGGGAATACCACACAGACGAATCCGTGTCTTGAACAGACACAAATGCAATGTGGTGGATTTTAACAAAGTTTGTTAACACTCAACTTTGCTTTTATACAACTTTGGACAAACTGTTAAAATCAGTTTAATAGTTTCACTTATAACAAAAACAAAGTGTCAGAAGACACAAACCGCTTATCTAAGAGAACACTCATAAATAGACCATGGTTTTCAAGACAAAACTATCAATCAGTTCACTTTCATTTCTATGAAAATGACATCATCAAGATGTAAATAGCCTTGATTTTTAATTGAAAAGATATCCGTTACGTTTCGAAGACATGTTTTTCAACAATCGGCATTCCAATTGGAACCAACTGAACACCTCTTCTTGTCGAATTGTTCCTGTATTCATATTAACAGACTTCTTACAGTTACTCTTCTATGAGAATGAAAAGAATAAGTATTATCGTTGTTCTTCCATTCCGTTACATAGATGATGTCTGCCCACTAAATAATTTGAAGTTTGGTGACTATGTTTATGGATGTATTAGATGTAAGCCTCTCATATTTGAGGGTCGTCAGTCCTGAAGCTATGAGGGGATTACATCTGATTTACATGGAAGTAATCAATAATTATTTTATCTTGTTCTAAAAGGAGCAATTAGTTTTGATAAAATAGGAAGAGTGTCATTATCTTAAATTTTCCAGATACAGCAACACTTTCAGAAAATGTTTTGTAGTTATGGATTTAGAATGAAATATTAATTGCATCTCCTTTTCTCTCATCAAATTGATCAAATAGCAATGTGAATCGCTGTACTATCTTGCCTTTTTCTGGTTTAATTGCCTAAATCTGAACTTTTGCTGATAAATGATAACACTTCTATATAAATAGTTTGATTGATATTTGACGTTATAAAATTTCAAACATCAATTGAAAATAAGTGATGTATTTTTCTCATACCTAGATCTGATTAATTGTTCGGAGTTGGCAAAACATTTAGTACTTTTCGGTTATATATCAGCCTTCAACGTATCCAATAGGTTTTTTTTAATTTTTAAATATATTAAGACTCGAGGATGAAGGAAGACATCAGTTTTTGAAATGCGTATCTGGCTGATGGTGATTAATGGCTGTTTAACGTACAGCTTCAAATTAAACGCATATTCAAGATGAGAGTTTGTTTGTGATATGCATTTGAACTTTTATTTTAATTGACTAACATGCTGATCCACCAGCAACATAACAGGTGCAAAATATGGAGCAGGATCTGCTTACCCTTCTGAAATTTTGAAACCATCACCAGTGATTTTGGTAGTGTGCATGTTGTTCAATATTTAGTTTTCTGTATAGAGGGTGGTAAAAGGTTATTTTCGTGCAACGTGTTTTGCCATTTTTATTTCACATGCAGCCGAGAAAAAGGTTCGTTATTCACCGTGTTTCTTGAAATCGGTAAAAAGATCCACATGCAAGAAATTTTTAATTGTTCGTTCATTGTGAAATGGCAATTTTATTTCGCGTTCTTCCGTGCAGATACCCCCCCCCCTTTACGCCCCTCTGTATAGTGTTTTTTTTACTGGTATTGTCTTCTCGTTATTTTTCTTTTGGTATTGTGTGTTTTTCTTCTTATGACTAATGTTTTTCCCTTTGATATCTTCTGCATATTTTTCTCTAACAAATTAAATGAAAAGTATTCATACAGAGAAGACATGGTGCAATACAAAGTCAGTAAACACCAACAAAGGGTATTTGGAACTACAACCTGTTATTACTTGTCTTAAAGAGGTGGACCATTTATGACTATCTATGCTGTTCTTGGTATTTACACTGCTAACAAATGTTGATAGTGTGCTTGGTTAATAAATAAAAATACAGATGATTTTTGTTTTTATTATTCATTTAATTTATTTCTATTAAATAGTTTTTCTTAATCCATTTTAGACATTTGAAATGTTCTTTTAAACAAATAATTGAAAACTTTGTTACTTTTTTACACATGTATTAACATTTAAGAGACAAATACTGTAATTTACTAAAAATGTCCTAAATTAATATCTAAATACAGAATTTATCATTCATTGTTAAAATAGGCACAACATGCATTTAATTACAATAAAAAAGTACTATTTTACAAATTTTCATAAATGTAATGAAAATTTTTTTTTTTTTATTATACACATAACAATAATAACCCCAAACATCTTGATAATTTTCAAAACTTGCAGAGTAAATTGCATTAAATAAATCTGAGTGGTATCGGTTATAGTTCAGTTAAGGAAGCTTTAATATTATTAGACAAGAACCAAATATTTTTTCTTTCGTCAATATTTAAGGAGCATCATTTCCTAAACAATTTTTTGCAAACATGAAAATGATAAATCTGTAAAAGAGATATGAGTATGCCAAATTGATACCAAATTAAACCATCCATAAAGAAATAGTAAGAGAAAAGTACTTATAAAGAACTATTTTTTTAAAACTTTAAATTTTATGGCATGAACTATTAAGTTCTTGAAAAAATTTAATTTAGTGCATCTTCTTCTGTTAATGTTTCTAGTTCCTTTTGGTTTTTTTTATATAGAATTTAAGAATCAATGTTAATACATACTTTTCCTGTATGTTCATCAAATAAACAAAACATAAATGCGAAATTACGTTTCAATATAACACAATGCATATTTTCAAAACTTTGTATGTACTGAGAGTACATGAAACATATTACAACATGAGTCTCAAATGAGAGCTTCAGCCATAAACATACCTTCACCAGACATCATATATAAACCATAAATACACATTTATACATTTACATGACAGTTACACTTCAAGTAAAAGGTGTAAAATTATTTGTTTATCAATATAGGAGTCGTTAAAAAATTATCCTTTGAAGGACTGGGTGAAACTGAAGAAAACATTTTTTTGTTGCAACACATGCTTATTTTCTCATCTATGTTTGTTATTGAATGAATATCTGATTAATGCTGAATAAGGATAAATCATCTTTCCCTTGACAAATATATGTATTTAATGCCATCTAAACAGTGACACAGTTCTTGTTTTAACTAATCAAATTCTCCAACTGAAACTTATCATTTCACTTACCTCTAAATCAAACTGAAGCAATTTGGATTTATTTTTCACTTAAACGTTCTAAACAAAAAGACTAGGAATATTATACTGTTCTCCAAATGAAGTAAGTCTCTCTCACTGACACATATTTGGTTTCATACACCTAATTCACATTAAATTTCATAATATCTCTTAAACATGACAAATGTTTTTAAACAAATAGCTAGCACTATAACAACTTATATACCAAATTATGAATAAGTTTTAAAACCAGTTTACAAAATCAGCTTTCATGAGATATATTCTAAACAAAAGCAGATGGTACTGTATGGTTGATGAATTTACAATGAGTTGCAGTCCCCTTCACATATATTTTAAATCACTTTTTATCCATATACAAAACAAAAATAAGAACTATTTTAAAACTTTTAATGAAAACATGTCAACTAAACTATTTCCAAATGGTACTTTTGGAATTACCAAAGAAATGTCACAAGATAATCCACAACTTTGTATGTCTATAAAAAAATTGATTTTTTTTATCGAATACATTTATCTCATTCTTCCTTTTTGCAGAATGTTTTCCATCCCACACCACTTTAATACATTAATAATCTTTACCAATTAATGAAAATAATGGGGTACAAAAGTGTTTGATCTAAATATGTCAGCAATTATTCAGAATATTAGCTATAGACAGCTCTTACATTTAAGACTTGCACATATCTATCAATCATTAAAACATTTAAGGCAATATTCATTTTATATTGGTTTAATAAAAAGGCCAATTATTTATTCTCATAGCACCCACAACTCCTTTCAACATCCATGAAAAATTGGTGTTCCCAAATGAATTGTCAATATGAACCATGAAAAACAATTGTAAATTTCTAACACAGACATATCAACAACTATAAGCTATTGTAACTTTTAATCAGTACAATCATACCAAAGATGTATAAGGGGATTTTAAATGAACTCACTGTCACACGTATTGACCAATCTACCTACTAAATAGTAGCATAGACTGAATAAATGTTTATACTGTGGATTCAACTTATTCATGGTTACTTATTTGGGTGGGTAATGGTTAATCACTAATTAATATGTTCTAGAAAATAAAAATTTCTATAGACTTTGTTTTCATCTAATTTGATAAATCATTGAAATCAAGTATTCTCATAAACTAGTACTCACAAAAATAAATTAATCCACAGTACTATTTCTATTTGACATAAAAGAATGTTTACATTATATTTCTTCTAAATATAAACACAACAATGAACATTAACAACACATTAAAAGGTTTTCTATCTTCAAAACCAAGCATTTCTAGTTATATAAACATATAAAATGGTTTAGAAATGACAGTCTATCCTTTTGTAATTTTTTCTACCATTCATGATTAAACATACAGAAAGGCTGTAGTCTATACAAGCCAAATATGACCTTGATTATGAGGATTTCTCTATTTTCCTGTTACATATGTGTCTGTCAATACTTAATTATCGTTTAGCTGAGCAAACTTTAGACTTCCACAAATGGTAGCAAAATTAAGACCTCTTGATAATTACAAGTACATTTAAACTTGTCCCCAAAAAACAAGCATTACAAATCCAAATTTGGATAAGGGACATAATTCATTGACCACTGAAAAGTTAGCAACTATTATACAGCAAAGAGTGGAATTGTTATTAAAAAAAAATGTTATAAATTGCTTAATCCTTGCAATGCAAAATATTATTTTTATATCATAACATGTTTTCCTATCTAAAGTTGGGATAAAAAAAAAAATACTGAGATTTATAATTATTTTCCTAACTCAATCATTTACAGCTATCAACAGGGTTTAATTTCCAATTTCCGGGTATATTGCTCCAAAAGATGTATCAAATAAGAAACATAGCCATTTCCAATATTTCAATAACTTCTATTACTCATTTATTTAAAATTTCCATGCATTAAGTCAAATTAATTGATTTTATAGACTTTCATCCCAATCCACCTATAGTGAAAATATTTGAGTAATAAAAATATTTCATGAAAAAAATTCATCCAGTTGATATACAATGGTGGTAATTCCTAGCACCATACAATGAATGAGATTGCATTTGTTTCTGTGTCTTTCGTTGGTTAATATTTGGAGGACTGGTACGCATCTGGGAATTTCACTCTATGCTGACCTTCACCCATAACCTTTGGTAATGTTCCTGCATTTGGTATGACATTCCAGGACAAAGTCAAGGTTACATTTTTATTTCCCCTGAAAAAAATGTAAAAACAAATTTTACTTTATATATATAATCACTATAATAAAACTACATGTATAAAAATATAACAATTTCTTAACATAATTTCTCACTTCAAAAATAAGCACAAAATTCATTTCATTTATCTTGTGATGAAATCCCCTTAAGGAAAGCAAAGGCTGGAATAAACACAAGAATACTGATATATTCAACTTGACTTATGATTTTCAGACATATAATTCTCCTCAGTATTATTCATTTTAACTTGTTTTTTTTCTAATTTAACCTAACCTACATTACATGCAAAAAGTTCACACTTTACCATTCATTTTCTTATACAGGTTATGTTAATATTGCAGAACATTTTGTTGATAGAGGAAAAATTATATAAAAAAAAAAATCTTATTTTTATATAATCTTATTTTTTTTAAAGTTTGTTTTGCATTAGTTACAATGTAACTGTATTTTATTTGTTTATTTTAGTTTTTTCATCTTACATTAGCATTCACCTGTATGTTTGTCTATTTGATTGCTTGGTATTTCTCCATTCTTCAAATAGCGATCAATACATGGAAGGGGATGGGGTGTACATGAACCAATAATCTAATTAAAAACCATTTAAAACTCTTCGACATATCTTAAATAGTTTAGCTTTTATTGGCAACAGCCTTATCATTGCCTATGTGATCACTGATTTATACACAGGAGAGAATAAAAATCATCTATGCATGTTATAAATTCTACTTCTGTTAGCTCAATATTTCTCCACTCTCAAAAGTTAATATCAATATATAGTAATTCTAACTATCTTTTAAGTCAAAGGATTGACTTATAGCTATATATGTCTTTTGTATTGATCATGTTGATGAGTTGCGTCTAGTCTGAAATCACTAAAGGAGAAGGGTTAAAATTGGCTATTAGATTTGGTTTTACTTAGCTTTAAGGCATGTTGTCTTTTGATACATTGATAAAGATGAAATTCAAGCCAAATTTTTGCCAAATGTGAAACCTTGTACTTTTTAGTTAATTTACTTACTTGAGACCATTTCCGTAATCCCAGAAATAGTATTTAGTATTGCTACTTCTGTAGTCCAACAAGGAGTTCTCTCCCCTCTTAATTATCTTATCCCATATAACCACTTGATTCAAAACCTAAAGGAACAAAGACATACATGAGATGGTTAAAGTTTACACTGGCAACATGGTCAGGTTATTTTTTTCAAAATTTTTAAGATAACCACAGAACCGTTAAATGATGTCTATATAAACAAAATAATTTCAATAACCTACAAGCTGTAGCATGTGTATCCCTATTAAAGCTGCAAAGTATAATTAAAAAAATAATAATTGTACAATGCTTCATAATATATCTTTTATTGATTGAAAGATAAGAGTTGATTTCTTACATGAGTTTTACCATGTTTACTTTGATAATATTTGCAGATCTGTTTCCTTTTAATGAATTTTAAATTCTGAGAATGAATAATAGTAAAAGAAATGAAAGGATGTGGCTATTTCTGGTGTTTTGTCATTCATTGAAGTTATACTATTTGCAATTAACACATGTGCTTGTTTAATCCAAAATAATTAGAAGCTCAGGAGGGATTTGTATCATCTTACATCAAAGGTAAATCAAGGATAATAGTAATAATTTCATGTTTTTTCTGCGCATGTAAAAACTTGTATTGACAATATTCTACAAATTTAAGTTAGATTGTTGTTTTCGGGTGATATTGTCTCAAGAGTATGCTACTAAAAAACATATTTCTTCATTATCAAACCACAAGTTTCATATCCTGCAACAAGCATGGTGTATAGCTTATTGCTGAATTTTCTATAGTGGCAGTTAGTTATACTAAGCTTTTGTTGATTTTGAGGTCTAAATTGACTGCCTTGCATATATTCTTCAACTTTGGCATTTTAACTTTTTTTTATTCAAAATTATCACTGATGAATCTTTTGTAGATGAAATGTGCATCTGGCGAATGAAATTTTAATCCTAATATCTATGATGAGTTTATTCATAATATATTATCTATAAACAAGTTTAGTAAAATAAATACTTACATGAGCTTTGGATTCATACTCTGCAGTCAAATATAAAAACAATTGTTTGACATTCCAGTTAAATATTTTTGATAGATGTACAGAATGTTAAAGAAAAAAATATTCAATGTCTAGTACGATATGTGATTTATTTCTAAGATATTCATTTTCAAACAGTATCAGGGGTACTTAAATTATGTGCATATTCATTTTTGTTTTTTTTTAATAAATTTGCATATTGAACTTAAATTGTAAAGTCATATTCATCTCTAAAAGAAAGTCTTTACTACTGAAGGAGTTTAGTAAGTCACCTCCCTTACTCAATGTTGCTTTCCTTGTCATCCTTCAAAAGTAAAAATAATAATTAATTAATCAAAAATGTGTGAGTCTTCCAAGGAACATGGGTGTTGGCTGACGTCTCAAAATCATATAAATCTAAAAAATTCACTCAGATCAAAATTAAATTGGCAGGTGCACAACTTCATGTCATATGGAAAATCAGCTAAACTGGAAAGCCTGGTTGAATCATGTCAAGCCATTATCAAGGACATGCTAATTAACATTAAAGTGTAATGTGGATAACAATGCAAAATGACAGATGTGAACTCAAATATTTTGCTACAGTTTCAATGTGAGACCACACAATAAAATCAGCTAATCAAAAATTGACATCAGTAGTGTTTAAGCCCACATAATTATTATGAGGTTATTATACTAATATTTAAGTAATCAGATGATTTGTAATTTGACTGTTTTACATGAAATACTTGTAATGCTTCAAAACAATCTAGGTTATAATAATTTTTTAAAAGTGAACTAATACATATAGATAGAAGTCACTCTATACTGATAAACAGCTACACCAGGAGTGCATGCTAGACCCTTCTTTTGCATATTGAAATTGTTTCAAAAACAAAATGGAATATTCAAAAGGGTTTTAATCATGTTAATCAGAAGTTAGTAAAATGGCCCTAAAGAAAAAGTTGCATTAGGATACTGTAAGGCATATACATAATGCCTAAAAAATTACTATTCAAAGTCCCATAACTCTGGAAAATCGAACCAAAGAAGTTACATAATGAAAAGGAAATCTCTATTCTCCAATCCCAACAGTGTATTGTTTGTAGAAATTTGATCCAAGCATGCTACAACTAGTGTATGAAAAAAATAACTTAAATCTGATGGTTAAAGTCCCATAACTCTGGAATAAAAAAATAGAAAATTTTCAAAATCAAAGGTACCTTCTTTTGAATCTTTTCACCAACTCTAACAATTATGTAAAGTTTCAAGTAAATATATCAAAACATACTCAAGTCTAAAGTGTACAAAATGTGAGAAATTAACTTTAACCTGAGTTAAAAATCTTGAACTCTGGAAATGACAAAACAGTAAATATTCAAAATCAAAAGAGAGTTCCATTTAATCAATCCCAATAATAGCCTTAAGTTTTGGGTCATTCAATGTAAACATACTCTAGTAAGTGAGAGATGCCTTAAATCTATGGTTAAAGTCCTGCGACTCTTTTCACAAAAAATCTTAAGAGTAAAAATACTCGTAAGTCCTGCATATTTCAGTATAACTTACTTAATCGTAAGATTTTTTGTGAAAAGAGTCACAGAAACTTTGAAATGACAAAAAAAATCAAAATCAAACAGGAGCTTTGTTTTATCAATCCCAACAACAGGCTACAGTTTTAATCAACTTGATCTAAGCAACATTAAATTTATAGTGTGGGATATGTGAAAAATTGGCCAAGTTTGATTGTTAAAATCTATATCCGACTAGGGTATTCCATTATACATTTTGTCTAAGACAAGCATATAAAAATATGCAAATCTTTCTCATTGTATCTGGAGGTTATATATTTTTGGAATCTAAATATGGTGAATGTAAAATGTTCAAAAGTAATGATTTAAAATAATATGCAACATCATGTATGCTCATAGCTGATATACATGATATACGGACCGCAAAGTCCTAAAAAATCTGAAAGAACTTTACCAATGCTGTCATTCTAAAGATATCAATGTTGGTGGCCAATGTTATAATTTGTAATTTTTAATTTCAGGCAACAAAGAAAACTTGTGTCAATTTTACTAGAACAAGCCTTTTCTTACATTGTTCCAAAGATAATATATCAAAAGTAGTAATTGCCCATATTAAGCTCCCAGATGCTACCTCAGGTACATACAAAATAATTCAAGCCCCATGTTTATTGACCAATCACCTTTAACCTTTTTTAGTTCATCTACAATGTAAAATCCTTTTTAAGCAAAACAAGCCATTTGAAATTTGTACTTTCCTTCATGTTCTTTATGTCAATTGAAATGCGTGTAACAAGTTTGTAAATTTTATATAAATAATAAAAGAATGAAAATGATAAACATTAATGGTCAAAATATATCAAAAGAATGATTTTTGTTACTTTCTTCTTATTGCTCAATATTCAGAACTTATTTTAATAATTACAATTTATTGACAAAGATCTGAGAACCCAAAAAGGTATCAAATACTGGAACTCTAAAATCTCGCAATACATTATTCATTAATATTCTTTACAAGAGCAAGTTTTTAATCTCCATATTGAATTCAAAATTTGATTAATTTCTTTAACTTTCATCTGAAACATGTGAAATGTACTAGTACTTATTATCTTACCATGCATCATGATGCTTCACTGCAGTGTATTATATATATGTTTAAAGACAGCTAAAGTTGTGTTGTTTACATGACTTTTATATATTTGTGTGTATATTGTTGTGTAGTCGATATGAAAAGCTCTAGAGCTTATAATAAGTGTTTATGTAGCCTGTTTTCTCACTTTTATGAATACATGTAGCATTTTTAATTGAAAACAAAAGTTTGAAATACTTCAGATGGTTTTGTTCTAATATTCCAAAACAGCATGGTGACAAAAATCTGATTCTGGAATTTTTATTAGCAACATCTAGTCTAATGCAGCCTCCACATAACAATAGCCTTTGCACTACCATTAAAGAGAATTGGTTTTATAATTATATTAAGGTAGGAATGTGCTTCATGCATAGTGAATATTTGATTCCTGTAAATTTGTCATGTATTTGCTATTTTTAAAGGATATCTGCTTGCATATCAAAAACAACAAATCCCAAGTCATTCTTCTCTCTTCCAGCACTGTAATCTGGTACATTCTTCCTGTAAGTAAAGAGAAACATTGTAACATCATTGTTTGTAATAAGCATCAAACCACTTACATAAATGTACATATATATTTCAATTATCATTCAATATATGAATTACTGAAACAAGTAACTCTGAGTAAAAAGGTGTATGCCTTAAGTAACAGAAATTAATCACTTGTATCCTTGCATGATGTGTTTTTGCAATTTTCAGAGCTTATGGTTTCAGCTATTGAGTTTTCATTTACATATATGTATTGGGATTTTCAGAGCATGTTCTGTCGAATTTTTTGATGAGCCTAGATTTCTTGTCAAAACTGACTGCTTTTTTTATATTTTTCTGAATACTATGATTACTTCATGATTTAAGCTTCTACAAAAGCCATTATCTTTTTATTTCAAGATGCATTTTCAAAATTTGGGTTAAATATAAGAAGTTAAAACTGTTCTCATCTTTATTTATTTCATTTATATAAGCTACATGTATTCAAAACAATTTTCAATTGTATATTGAAAAAATGGATTCAGGACTCCCATTCTATTTAAGAACCATGTAAATTTCAACTTGCTGGTTTTTAATACATTTTTAGAAAGTACAACCAAGAACGACATGACAGTCTTGTGAGAAGAAGATCCATTGTCCGATAATAATTCTTTAATATGAAAAAATGTCACCTGAAGACCGCATTTCTTTGTTTGCATTGAAAATGAAGTCATACATCATGTACATTTACCTAAAATTCCTAACAACAGGACCAACTTCGGATATGTTTCCATATTCCCATTACTTTTTCAACAGAAATTAAAAATATGTTGAGATTTTTAATTTTGGCAATTTGGTAAAGGGTAATATTCATTTTTTAGCAAATTTGTTTATCTGATAACCAAAATGTGTGATGATAAATAATACAAACATGAACCAATAACCTTTGGGAGATCATCAGGTTGTGTCTGCTTCTTAACATTTTGATATCAGGTCGTTCCGGCACCATAATAAATTTTATGAATAATTACTTTTGAAGTCAGAGAGTCAGTTTGTGAATTATTTGATTCAGGGTAATCATCATGATCATGGTAATTGGCAATTTACACATGAAAAAATTGTGTAAATTTCGCTGATCAGAGGAATATTTATTAGAAAACGGTATGGATGATCAATGACAACAGATATATAAATCTTTAATGAAGAGTTCTCTATTTGATTGTTTTTTATAACTTTTAAAGAAAAATAAATGGGGAATGTGTCCATGGGACACAGATGATACCCCCCCCCCCCTCGTGTCCCATGATGATCCCCCCCCCCCTCCATCTGTGTCCCAGAGACAGATACGAAAAATCTGTGTACGTTTAAAAAGCACAATCGAGTTTAAGTAGCTCCTTCCAACGTTATTTCTTCAAGAAAATACTTGAAATGAACGTTAGATAAAGGTATCAATGAAAATTATAGTATTTTTGAAGAATTTGGATGCATAATTAAATCATTAAACATTAAAGCCCCATAATAAAGGTAATAAAATGATTTTAATATAAATATTTAATATTTAAAAAAAACATATATATATATTTCGATATAAAATCTTAATATAAATATTTAAAATATCAAAAACAATATTCGAAAAAATGTCTCCTCTAATGAAAATTACATATTTGATTATGCATCATAAACGCAATTTTTGATGGTCCACCTTTTCTATTGTTCATCAAATTCATTAATTTTATCGACTACATGTACGTGTCAAATATATATGTTGACTTTAAATGTGGGCAGAATCAACTTGGGAATGATGTACATTTGTACTTAGACGAATTGATTTATTGCCAGTGACATGAAAGCATCATATTGAGTTTATCAGAGAAGCAGATAATATTTTTTTTTCCTGCCAGACATTGGGCAGTCAGGGGTACTACTTGTACAAGTAATCTTTATTTACTTGAAGAAGTAAATAAAATATACTTATATAAGTTAATTATAATGTTTGAATAATCTCCCCTTAATTTTCTCAAAAATTTACTTGTATAAGTAAATTTTTTTTACAATCCACAAAAATTCTCAAGTTTTGAGATGTAAAATCATGTCTTTAACAATTTTTCTCAGGTTAGCTCATAATTTTTGATAAGAGTTCAATGTTTCATCTCATTAATTCAACAAAGAAACTGATTGAGCAAAGATCTTAAGTATTTGCGCAAGGCCTTCAAAAATTGCTCCTTAGGGGCTTGTAAATGAGCAGTGTTCGGAAGATAACAGACAAATGAGATTTTCATTGTCCATGAAATTACACTTAAATGATTAGTAAAGACATCTGCAAAGGACAGACAATTGAAAATTGTGTTAGAGCAAAGAAGTTCTAAGAATTCAAGAAAAGAAGATAGGATGACTTTTTTACTTGTATAAGTAAAAAAATCTGAATGTCTAAGGGACATAATTAGGCCAAAAAATAATTTACCTATACAAGTAAATAAAATACACTTGTATAAGTATCCTACAAATTTACTTATATAAGTATATAATATTTACTTCTTCAAGTAAATAAAAATTACTTGTACAAGTAGTACCCCTGACTGTTGGGTCCTGCATGTAAGACAGTTTTGCCAGTCATATCAACTGTTTGCCAGACCTACTTTTGAAAAAAATAGTAACTAGTTCCCAGTTGGATTAAGATACGCCTTAAAACCATGACTAGAATGACCAGGTTAAATAGGGATATGACCATGGGGTGGTTTAATGACTGAGACCACATTCAATTCAAATTATCCTGCAACATCAAATAAATAAATGAGAATGTTGTACTACACTTGCCAATAAGACAACTATCCATTAACATTATGGATTGTTGTCTTACAAATGTCTTAGTAATTGGCATAAGAACAATTAGATCTAAAACAAAGACAGTGGCAAGCTACATTTACGTCAAAACAAATATGTGTTTTCACACATTAACTAAAATGAAAAAATACTTTAGGAAAACTAAAATAATAGTTGTTCTTGTTTAATCTAATTTACACTGGTCATTAGTTGTCCCTTAGGCCACATCAATTTGATTTTTAGTTCTTCGGACAAAAGCTCCAAAAAATATGGGGCGAGCGAGCGAAATTTTTTTGATTGTATTTATTTCTTGAAAATGAGTTTTGTTGAGGCGGGTGCTCTACAAGTGGAGCGAGCGGTATAATTTTTTTTTAAATTGTGCGATTTAGAATTTTATGTACATGCTAAAACTGGGTTACTTCAAAGATAAAGGAGGAGAAACATGCTGGTATGCATATAATTTGATGTATTTTTGCCTGTAGTACAGTCTGTACCATACCCAACTTTTTGGTTCGCTTTGGTTTAGTATAATTTGATTATTTTCGTCAAATAAGCTTTAACTGCATGGATTTTCATTTAAATTCATACATGTGTAGTAGTTAAGCAAGAGGAATAGTGTTAGTTAGGTAAATGAAATGTGTTGAATACGATTAAAATATGTGTATGTGTTCCAAAAAAAGCCCTTGAAAATATTAAATATCTTTTGATATAGTTGTTTTCATTGTATGGTATAATTGATTGTTTATTGGCTGCTTGACATCCAGTTGGAACTATTTATTAATACCGGGTAATAGGATCAAAATAATGAGTGAGGTTAACAACATCCTGAGTAAGATAGTTATAATGCGATGTACATGTATGAAGTTCTCAATGTATTAAAATATTCCCTTAAAATACATTTAACCACATTCACAAGCATTATTCTGACTTAGGAAAATACTTTTTCCTTTTGCCCCTGAAACCTGCAATGTATTTCAAACTGGAAGTGGTTGCACCAATAACACATCTCTAATTATTATTAGCATACCAATCCCAATACCACCACTTTGGTCTTGAACGTTGGCACTCTTAAATTCTCCCTTACAAAAGATTGCATGTCTACTCAATAGACTAACAAGGGGATATGGGGTTTTCATCAAAATAAGATAAATCTGTTATTTAAAAAAAAATCATGTGAACTTTATATTTATTTCATCCAAAACAGATAGCTCTATCTATGTCTGTTGTATTCTGAGATTACTGTGACGTCCAAAGACTGTTTTTCCAGACAAGCTGGGTCCGTGGGACAACAGCGCCCCATCTTGTCTGGCAAAACATCAGTTGGAGGTCAGAGTAATCTCGGCCGGACTATGTCTGTTGAAACAATGATCGGGTATGACAATGGTTCTAACAAGTACTGATGTGATCGTGGTCATCTAACGAAAGATTTTTTTATTTTTGTTTCCTATAACAGGTCTTCATAGGTAAAAATATTTGCTGGTCATTGGGTCTGACACAAATGCATCATTTGCTGGACCCTCTAAAATTCCGCCCCCTAGGTCTGACGATTAGCTGCATCTCTGGTTTATTTGATGTATTAAAGGTATTTTTTAAGTAAATACATGTAGATGAACCAAATGTGTATAGGATTTCCTAAAGCCAGTAAAGGTTTGTTTATTTTTTAATTCATATTGGTTTGGTTCATCTATTCTGTAAATTATTAATCAGACTGTTGAGTCCTTGGTTGGCAAATAATCTTCAACAATTGTTGAATCACTAGAATCTGAACTAAGACATTTTTTGTAGATTTTCTGTACAACCCACAAATCATTTTCTTTCTTCAAACATGTCTTCTCTGTTCATGGGTTGCTAAGATTTAAATCAGAGCATACCTTTTTGGACAGAGCTTAACAGTGATTTCCGAGTGCTAGGGGAAGGGTCCAGGACCCATGCAATGGGGTAAATATATCAGTCCGTTTATATGGAGGGCACACGGCATCAGCCATGTGCAACTTGCTAGGGATGTTTGGGGACATCGCCCCCCCCCCCCCCCCCCACCCAAGAAAATTTTGAAAAATTAGGTGCAAAATCCTGCATTCTGAGAAGGAATAACTGCATGAATTGCAAACAAGATTCAAGAGATTTGCAAAAAACCACGATTTGACACCAACAAAATCTCGCGACAGTGTCTATAGGTTACAATAAACCATTATATTTTATGGGCGCAGCCATTTTATGAAGATAACATGGTAATCAGAATTAAAAGTATGGCTAATCCTGATTGGTCGATATTTTTTATTATAAGAGACTTTGTGCACTCTGCGTTATACCAAAGGCAAAATAAATTATTTTCCTTAGCCCTAACAGAACTGAGATGTCTTTTCAAGGCTAGGATGAGACACCTGTTTTTAACATGTTTAAGTGCAAAATTGATAGGCAAGGGAGATAAGTACAATTTACGTTGAGAAAAGCAACGCAAACCTATATTTTTTGGACCAAAAAGTACTTTCCGAATAAGTTTTCTTTAATTCTAGCAAGGTTTTCGTTAAAAAAATCAACTTTCTAAAGTCTGTATCTCGAAAAAGGCTATCATTGTCGCCTATGGCTATGTCTATGGGGAAATTAATTGTTTATTACAATCTATTCAGGGCTGCCAAGTCTCAAGTTTTTAGCGCAGGACTCACGTATTTTCATGATTATTTGGCGGCATTTTCCTTTGATCTATTGTTTTTTCTCTTTGATCTTTACGATTTTGGCCAAATCTCACGCATTTGCATTATTCAAAGTTGGCAGAACTGATCTATATACAATTGGGAATTTTAGAGCCGAAAATTGGGAAAAAAGAGCATGTTTTTCTTTGGAATTGGGGCCCAAATTCGGACCCAAAATGAGGGTTGGAAGTACTATGAGCAAACATATGCACTTTCTAACTTAACATATGCTTTTGTCTACAACACTGAACAGATACGTAACTTTGACACTAACACTATAACTCTTCCTGTTCCTAAATAAACTGGTGCTTTGTGGTCGTTAAAAAATGTTGTTAAAAAGCAACAAAATGTTAGACCAGCCATCACACTAAGTGTGAAGGCAAAAATTGTGTTCAATCTGGATAAAACTGTGTTCATTTTCCTGCCGGGTCAAAACGGAAGTAGTCGTCAGCTATCTCGTTTTTTCTCGTGTGCTACGAGACAAAGTACATTAAAATAAAAGTCGCTTTCGGTTCAAAGTCCGGAAAAAAGTAGCGTTTTATTTGTTTTTTGTTTTGTTTTGGTATTACTATACTTATAGTAATATGAGGCAGACGTTATAAGTGAAAGAGGTCCTTACTATTTTGATGATACTTTTTGGAATTCAGATCAAGGATTTGTAATACTTGTTCAGATATACAAATTAAAGTTGTTCCTTGCTATGATAAATTAAAGCCATACGCCCGTTTTTTGGACCTTCAAAAAAGTAACTCGATCATAGATCAGTCTAGTAACAAGAGTAGCAATGCAAAAGCTTGAACTGACATGTGTATAGGGAAAACTGTAAAAACATCAATTTTGAAAGTTAGTGAAACAGATTCAGAAATTCTAACCAAGACATAAACTTTTATTTTGCGGAAAATTTAGTATTCAAATATCTAGGAAGGAATTCATATTTCAAATCGGACCATGTTTGTGTTTATGTTTTGGTTTTTGATTTTTTTTATGGGAAAAAAATGATTTTTGATACACTAGTACTGATTTAGCATTTATTTTCAAGTTTGCCTCAAATAAATGATGATCGAAAAATCAACACAGTACTTATTATAAACATTATTTAATTTAGATAAAAAAAAAGTGAGCAAATTCTTAGCTTGCCTGGTTCCGTATGACAATATCATTTTATATAGGCAACTGTACAGCATACAACGAGGAGAAAACTAGATCCATTTAACATTTGAACGTCATTTGATTGATTGGGAATCCAGTAGGGTACCCCTTAGGTCACACAGTCACGTATAAAAAATTCCTCAGATCACAAGATCACTTTTGAGCAAACTAAACAGTTCTAAACTGAACTGATTCTCAGTCTGAACATTTTTAAATGGCACAGACCCTTTTAGAATAGAAATCAGGTCGCATCCACCAAACCACACATGCAACGTCGCAGGTCGGATTTTTTAATAGGAGCCACTTTATCAATAATTTATAAGAATTTTTCAGAATTTCAAGTTTTAATAAAAAAAAAACAGAAAAAAAGCCAGACAATCACAATATTGATAAAAACTGTCCTTTTGTATTGTAAATACTGTTGAATTGATGTCTAACTGACACTCAATATTTCCCTTTAAACACATTATTTAATTTCAAAGAGAGGCAAACGATACCAAAGGGACATTCAAACGCATAAGTCGAAAATAAACTGTCAAAGCCATGACAAAAAAAAAAGGAAAAACGACCGAAAGACAAACAACAGAATAAAATAGAATATTGTTTTTAGTATACAAAACACAACAAAGAAAACTAAGGACTGAGCAACACGAACCCCCCAAAAAAAACCCGGGGGGGGGGTGATCTCATGTGCTCTGGAAGGGTAAGCAGATGTGGCACCTGTAGTGTTGCTCATGTAATTACAAACCAGTTGATAAGTCTAATTCAGAAGGTCCGTTCGAGGAAAAGTCGGACGGAATTGCGGTTACGACGATTGGAACATATCCGTCGTCATCTGTGAAACATATATTCCATAACGGTCAACCAACTAGTGATGGCGTCATGGAATGGATGATTTCAACTTCACCACTTGGAATTATTGGTTTAAAATCTTCTTTGTGATCCTCTATCGAGGAAATCATGATAGGAAATGCAACTGGGAGATATACATGTATACTCCATATGCAGGCACTGCTGGAATGTTGCTACACAGAAATGGAAAATTTACAATTGGGAAGCTGAAATCATCTCTTTTGTCGTAATGTTTTGTTCTCAACCAACCCTATTTCTAGGTATAAGTCAAGATATGAGGCAGATTTAACTGTAACAGTCGTATCCTTTATTTCAAGTTTGATGGGAGAGATACGTTCAACATAGTCACCAAACTTTGAATTATATTTACTGAGAAGACATCATCTATATAACGGAAAGTGAAGTTAAAGGATAATTCTAGCTTGTTTTCATTCATCTTAGAAGCTCATATATGAAGGCAGTCTCAAATGAATAAAAGAAAAAGTAGACAAGCAGAGGAGCACAGTTAGTTACCATGGGAATGCCGATTGTTTGTTGAAAAACACGTCCCCCAAACGTAACAAATATGTTGTCACTCAAAGAAACTAAGCATCTTGATAATTTCAGTTTCAGAGAATTTTTTGTTTGAATCGGAGTGTTTTTGGTTTTTTTTTTACAAATTACGATTTATCCCTCTCTAAGACAAGATACTCGTATATACGTTGGCCATTCTTTTTTATGAAACAAAGCAGGACCAATTCTTTCAATTTGTGTTTAAGTTTGGAATGCATGGGGAATACTTGTGTAAAGTGTAGAAAGTCAATGTTTAAATACTATTGTAAGATGAAAGAGTTTTAGATTGTATATACTCTTAACAAATCTTTTGAATTTTGTTAGTGTCCACATCTGATCCACCCACCTATAGAATAGGTAGTTTCACGATAACTTTGAAGCCCGGCTTTCATTGTGGATAAAATTGATGATAGTAATTTAGAAAGAGGTTTCATAGAACAGACTTATGAGTATCCAGGATTTCCTTCTTTATAAGTGTCGTAGGGTATATGTCGAATTTCCAAGTGAATTGTCAATACTTAATTCATTTATCAAGCAGTTAATTAAGGTAATGTGATTTACACACAAAACGATATTGTTTGGGGCTTCATCTACGGGGACAACACCTGTTATGGAGGTAGGACAGGTACGTGCTTTACAACATTTGGATCTTTGAAGATTGATGTAGCATGTGTATTCATATACCCATTCAGTTTGTTATTCAAAGGTTCATTATCATTGTTTTTTTTTTATTACTCACTGATTGCATTTACTCTAATTAAAGCTACGAGTTGTTGACCGCAATTTTTGTTGTATTCATATCCTTTATATTGTTTTATGCTGGAAGGGGATTTCTTTTTTTTAGCGTTTTCCCAAGAGGACGCACTGGAAAAGTTTTGTACAGATGAAACAAGTTTTGAGTACACCACACTACAAAAATATAAGTATATATATACGTATGCACACGCCTTTAATAATAATGTATTTTTTTATGCATGAATAAAATTAAAAAAAAGTGATGTCAAACGAGACTGCAATCTAGCACAAAAACCAATAAATATATCCAGTGGCAAACACGAAGTCATAATTATAATTTAACAATAGACACGAGGAATATAATATATAGGTCCAAACCGCTTCAAGTTTTTACACACGTTGTGATTGAATCTAACAGAGAATGTCAAATATCTACCATGCAAATCAAATTCTCCGCTTGACAAAAACATTAAAATATGAAAAGCACAGACGAGGTTAATAAAAAAAAAGGTCAGACACATGCATACATGGCCGTCTTGAGCTCACCCTACCCCTTTTTGTCTCTTCATTTGACTATCAAAAGGTATACGAAAGAAAATAATAAATGCATTCTTTTGTTATAAAACATATATTGGTTCATATTTGAGTTTCTATGGTATGACACATTCCAATTGAAACCTTTTATTTACAGTAATCTTTATTTCAGCTTATCGATATATGTACATTGAAAGATTATAAAAATAGATAATACACTGCACAATTTTACATAATACAAATATGTATATATCATGGGTTATCAGAATATTGTTATATGTTTAAAATCGAATACGATGTCAGCAGATAATATTTGAAAAGAAAAATTTGGTAAGTTATTATAATATTATATATATATATATAAAGTAACGTATACCATAAACTATCGGCAAACATGCAGTAGGTGACTACACGCGGCATATGTAAAAATATGTGACAAGCTACATTAATCATTATCAAGCTGCAGACCAAATTTAAAATCATTTCCTTCCACAAAAACCCAGAAAAGTTTGACAACATTTCAAACTATCAGCAAACAGGAAGTGCCTGCATCATGTTACAACTGAACATGATCAAGCTGCAGACCAGATATATAAGCATTACGTTCCATAGAAAAATAAATGAAAAATTTCCTTGAAAATGAATGGTTTGAAATTTCAAAGTATCGGCAAACAGGAAGTGGTTCACGGCAGAAATATAAATTGCTAAAGCAGTACGACTCAATATTATCAAGCCGTTAAGCAAATATAGAATTATTCCCTTCCATAGACTCCAATAAAAAGTATGACAAAAATTTTCCTTAAACAATAAGTAGTGTAAAATATCAATCTATCGGCAAACAGGAAGTGGCTGCACGGCAGATGTAAAAATTGCTAACACGCTACAAATCATCACTATTCAGCTACAAACCAAAAATAAAATCATTCCCTTTCATAAAAGCCAAGAAAACATTGACGAACGTTTATTCTACCCAATGTTTTCCGGACGGACAGACTTACTGACAAATAGCCAATTAGACAGGCGGACAGACAGACAGACACAATATATCCATTGTTGACACCACAATGACATATCCAGACATCTGACGCCATGTCAAACGAAGCATTTTTAACAAGTGTGTCAATGTAGTCGGTTGGAAGTCTGTTAAAATGATATATATAGACAATCGGAAGAAGGTTAATAAACGTCCATTCCTTAAATACTAAGTCTAGTAAATAATATGATCGACACCATCTTTTATATAATTAAAGCTAGAACGCTTAATATATTTGTTAGAAATACATTTAAACATATTCGTTGTGCATACTGAATTAGTTGTTTACATCAACGTCAATTGGTCTTTGGTGTATAGTTGTCTCTTTGGCAATTATACTAAATCTACTTATTTTTTATTTAGGGGGGAGTATTTCTATCAAAAAGGCAGAAATCTTTTGATCATTCTACAGAAGCAGCTAGAAAGTGGGTAGATCTAGACATTTTCAGATTTAGATAATGTTCTCCATTTAACAGATGCTAAAATTTTCTTAGGACTTTTATCGATAAATAAATATTTGCTGCTTCCAGGTCATGTATTCTTTATAACCATATGATAACAGAAAAATTAATTAAGTAAACATTATTGTTTTTTTATTACTTTCA